GCTTCTGTCGGCAGGCGGCGCTGTTGTCTAACACTCGGCCGCTTGCTTGTCCGCTATCTGCATCTTTGTCCTTGAGCTCATTTCCTGTGACTGTGATTGGTTGTCGCAGTCATGTGACACAAGTCACACAGTTCCTGTATTAACTGATAGAATTTTTTTGTTTTTTAGAACGAAATAAAAAGGAACTGTACGAGAATAGTCGAAATTATAATATTTATATTTAAAAATATTATATTTAATTATTGATTGTAATTTTAATCATTTTCACATGCACGCATTTCAGTGTTGACATGTTGTTTTACGTTTTAATAGATCATATGACGATCAAAAATATCAAAATATCATTATAAAATATTTGTGATATTTCCCGAAACACTTTCCATGCACGTAAATAACATATTAAATGCATTTAACTGTTAATTGACTAAAATGTAATGTATTCAGGTGAATATCGAATTGAATGTTTAATCCCGTAAAAATCCCAGTGGTGAGAACATTTCTCAATGTTATAATATTCTTGCTGAAACTTTCCCAGTGGCCATTTGTGACTTCACATAAATCGACAACCCGCCATATGGCGCTATTTTATTTCCTCTCAAAAATTTACAGTCAGAAAAATATTCCCATTAGTTCACACGTCAGAGATTTCACAAACACCTCATTTGCCCTGAAGCAAAACAACGAGCAAACTGAAGTAACACAAGAATACGCTTCACCAAATAACTCTATTATTTTACAACCACTACAAAAAGCGTACAGCAGACATTAGTCTACTATACTACAAGAAATAAACTCTGTTTGTGTTTTCCCTGTGAGTGCAGTGAATGTGAATTGAACCCCGTGTCTTTATTTCCTCCTGAGATCAGAGTAATCGCCATTATTGAATAAGTGCAACTTTCAGGATTATTTATGGCACCCGCGCGCTGTCATGAATGGCTGTGGGGAAGCACGTGATACCATTAAACTTTGTTTTATGGCCAGGGAGTTGACAAGCCAAAATATAATTCACATTGTATATTAGAAAGGTCGCTCAGACGGTTTGGAAAAGATCCCAGAGTCGCTGCAGAGGAAAGAGTCTCCACGCGCGCTCGGATCATGGATATATGCGCTTTACGCGACGCGCCGGCTTCTCGAGGTAAGCTCGTGTTGTTCAGGATACAGGCGAAGCGTCGCTGAACTTGCGCGTGTTGGATTGTGCCATGATGTTTACTGGGGTCTCATATCCACCAAACCAGCTCTGATCTGTTTCTGTGAACTCGTCTGGTGTTGTTGTGCACAGTTTTGGGTGGTTGGATAACTAGAGGAAATATAGGTCGTGATGAAGGTGACGTAAATGTTATCCAGTGGTCCGGCTTTGGTGCAAATGTGGCGCCACGTTATGAAAGATTACTTTTCAGGGCTTAGCTTGTATGAATTAAATTATTATTATTACTACTAATTTTATTGTTATTATTTCAAGAAGGTAAAATACACATTTTTGATACGAGGGCATACGCATTTTTTTCCATTAATTGCTCTACTTTTTCATTATTTGTTAATAAGATGAAAGTAAAATAGACTGCTTATTAAATGTGATTTTCTTCCATGTGTGAAATACACATTGGTCTAAATTAAGTTGTCTTTTGATCACTATTTGAACGTGAGTTTTTTTTTTTTTTTGCTTTGAATTGGCAAATTATTTTTACTTATATGTATTTCGCTCTGTTGTTATTAGATAGTGTACCATTCATGTAAATAGAGATCAGTTATTCGATGCACGCGCTTTCGTGACTTGTAAGTGAACTCTACAATAATCAGGTTTCTGGGTTTTATTGACAAGCTCTCTAGCGCCCCCAAGCAAAGAAACTCTCATTTTGACCCTATTCATATTTTACATGAATTTTCATCTCTGATACAATGCTGGTCAGAAAAAAAGATCGAAAGTCCTGTTCAATTAAATGATCTGAATTCAGAATTGCAGAGATGCGCAATTTAATGTGAATGTTATAAAATATAAAATACATAATTTATTCACTGACTTCCAACCATACAATGTCAGTGAAACAACGAAATGATATTAAATCATTTTAAATCAAACTTCAGTCTAATAGCATATGAAGTTTAAAATATAAGCCTATATGTAGGCCTACATTCTATGACCAATAATCAAGACATTTTGTATTAAAAGGTTTGGAATTATATATTTCATTCGTTGATAGCGAAACTGTCGCTAACTCCCTTGTGAGTTGAAATTATTATCATTATTTTTTTAAATAATTCACTCATTGCATAATTGTCGATTAATAGAGAAAGACCGTCTCAATCCACAAATCTGCATACAAAAATAAATCTGCAACTTGGTTAACGTCGCATGGGGGAAAATAATAATTAAAACGGTTTATATATGGGAACCCCTATGTGCATGCATGGGAATTATATACATATATATTTACAAATGTAGATATTTTCATTTCAAATCAGATGTGACTCTGATTCTTTAGTTCATCAGTAGCTCGGCTTTGACCCGCCTGAACGAGTCGCAAAGCAAGGTGAAACACGGGTCACGCTGTCTAACTAACACAAATCAAAAACACGTATTAAACGCACATTGTCTTTGTGCTTGGTAAATATAAATACATACAGAAATTAATTACTATATTAAACAGCTAATATCACTCATGGTTTACTTGCTTAAAAAGTAGAAAGAATGTCATCTCTTTTAAATCACTAGCCTATTATTTTGTTCTAAAATGCTATAATCATCTGTAAGTTTTAAAATCATAATCCGTAATATTCTATCAAAATTAACAGACAGATAATCAAATAAATCAATGCATATTCATAAGACTTTTAATCTGCTTGTTTTAAGGAAATTATGGTATATTCCTATATGAAAAGAACTTGAAGTTAACGTCGCTGTTAAATTTAGAAGTAACAATAAAAATAGATAACTGTTCAATTCCTAAGCGGGAAAATGTTGAGCGTTCTTGATTCGTAATTTTTGAACGGATTCCATGTTTATTATATATGCTGGCTCTGGTGAACGGGTGGGAATGACCACAGGAGCTGCTTATCTGAGAAGGTCATGTATTATCCATGAACTTTTCTTCTTGTTCCGCTACCGCTGTCGCCTTACCAAAAATAATGAAACTTTGTGATGTGTGTTGTAAATGATTCTGCTTGACCTCTCGACCTCTAGCCTTCCTTTATATGCTTCCTCACGTGCAGCACACAGTTTAAGGCTATACCTGATCAATGACAGCATCTGGCACTAAAGCCCGCAATCCCACCTGGATCTGGAGGAATATTGCGTTCAATCGTATGTGGTGTTGTTAGAGATAGGCCTACAGAATTAAATAATTAGTAATAGAATTTTTTAGATTAGTTAACTTTTAAAATATGAACGCATTAGGCTACATGAGGTCTGAAAATGGAGCTGCGGGCCTCTATCTGAAGATTTTTACTCCCTGTTAAACATTAATAAAAGAGTATTGAAAAAGTACGGAACTTTTTTTAAAAAATTTTTTAAATCAAGGCAAACCTTGAAGAAACACTCGCAACACTTGATGTTTGAGGTAGAATAACGGCTTCATTGTAGCTATATAGATTTTTTTTTTCAAACAAAAGACATTTTTGTTGAGGGAATACATGTCGTCGTCTATATATACCCTGTAGAACCGAATTTGTGTGAAAGACTGACAGTCACAGATTCGGTTCTAGGGGAGTATATGGTCGATGCAAGAACTTCGAATAAAACTTCGTCTTATTTGAGTGTTGGACCACTGAATGCTAATGTACGCGGGCAATATAGCCTATGCAATGTGCTTTGGAAAATGGCAGCTGGCAGCGAAGAACCACTTTCGTGCAATGAAGAACATCAAATGAGACGCATATAATTACATACTAATATAATTATTTGGTTGAACTCAGGAAAAGCTTTGATCATGTATACTGCGCTTCTACCTGTTCTTACTGAAACAAGTCTCTTTAACCATTTATGAATCTTACTAAATGTGTGCATGTGAATATAATATAATATTTGGTTACACTTTACTTGAAGGTGTCCTTATTACAGTGTTTTATACAGTAATTATACAGTGAAGTACTAAGTAATAGTGATTAACTACGTGTTTACTATATAATTAGGGTTAAGATTTGGTTTAGGGTTAGTTGCACGTAATGCATAATTGACTGTTATTACTATAGTAACTACTGTAAAAATAGTGTTGCCGAATACTTTTATTGAAATTTTGTGCAATTAAATCGCCCCTCTTATAAGACAGAGAGCACTAAATAATATTAGCAATATTTTGTATGGATGTTAACAAACTTTGCACATCCACGTACTTTGCCCCTGGTCTTACCTTAAGAACTGGCAAGCGGTTATTGTCTTTTCTGTGGTGTTTGATTATTGATTGGCACGCGCATTGATGGCGAACCAGGGCGCGCTATACAGCGAGCTGAAAGGATGAGAAGCGCTGGAATGATGAGACTCCAGTAACTTCTGAGTGACCTCTACATGACAAAGACGCTCTCCAGCAATTGTCTGCTGGCTTTATGTGACTCTTTTTGTGCCTTGGACCGTTTTTTATCTTTTGTCTTGTTTTGTTTTTTACCACTTGGGTTGAGTTTGATTTAGCTTAGTTGAATATTAATTTACCTATAGGGCTTCATGCACATATATGTGATGCAAATACATGCTTTTATATGATATAGTCAAATGTGTGCACTCTTAAAAATAAAGGTTCCAAAAGGTTTTTTCTTTGCACTTATAGAAGAACCTTTGAGTGAACAGTTCTTAAAATATTTTTTTTTCTTCGTGTGGAGATCATTCTAATAATGTAAAGAATCCTTTTCCACTATAAAGAACCGTTTGTGGAATATAAAGATTCTATAGATGTTGAAGGTTCTTCATGGAACCATCGATGTCAATAAAGAACCTTTATTTGTAAGAGTGTGGGATCCTTCCATGTGATGATGTACATGCCCACATGGTCTCAAAACAGATTTTTTTTTTTTCTTCTTACACAGACCGGGTATTTAATCAGTTCAATTTTATATTATATTATCACCATCCTAATTGAGAGATAATGTGAAGTTTGTGAAATTTACTACTAGGTGTGCACAGCTTCTTCTCTGTTGATGAAGTCCCTCGACCTCGATTGGCCAAGCTGGTCACATGGTAGCCTAACTTTATTCAGTTGACAGCAAGTAGGAGGGCTTTATGGAGGGAGGAAAAAAAGACAACTCGAGAAAAATTAGTATTTCCTACCTTCAGAAATTAATGGCCATGAGTTCGTACATGGTGAACTCCAAGTATGTGGATCCAAAATTTCCTCCTTGTGAGGAATATTCTCAGACCAGCTATATACCTGAAGAGAGCCCGGGCTACTACAGTCCGTCGCAGGACACTGGTTTCCAGCATCCCGGACTCTATTCACGGTCAAACTACTCTGAGCAGCCTTACAGTTGTAACACTGTCCAGGGCTCATCGGTTCAGCAGCGGGGTCAAGCGCAGGATCAAGCCGGCCAACACAGCCCTTTCCCCGCACAGACTGAGCAGTGTCCCGCGGTCCAAATATCCGGACAACCGCAAAACACAAAGAGCCAGAACGGGATAACAGCTAAGACGCCTGCTGTAGTTTACCCATGGATGAAGAAAGTGCACGTTACTACGGGTAAGATTCACTCTCTTGTAGGCCAGTCCTGTTCTGCTGTTTTAGCCACAGTTAAAACCATTCAGTGAAATATTTATGGGTTCCTCTGAAGGGGCCGCCAATTACACCAGCCATAAATTTTTATTGCTTAGGAAATAGGCCGCTAGCTGTGTTGGCCACTACTGTAGTCCACTTGGCCCAAAGCTTTGAACTGAATCAGTTAGTAATGATAAACTTTGATTAATTCACCTAAACTAAAATTAGACGAGTTCTGAGAATTTGTTCGATCAAATTCAAACGAGCGGGCATTGTTTTTATTTTGCAAAAGTTCAAATGAGCGATTTTTTATTTTGTTGATAGTTGGGTTCTTTTTTTCTAACAAAAGTGTGTTTTTGTCTTTCTCAGTCAACCCGGATTACACAGGACCTGAACCCAAACGTTCTCGGACAGCCTACACAAGACAGCAAGTTCTCGAACTAGAGAAGGAGTTTCATTTTAACAGGTATCTAACGAGACGGCGTCGCATTGAGATCGCGCACACCCTCTGTCTCTCTGAACGACAGATTAAAATCTGGTTTCAGAACAGAAGAATGAAATGGAAAAAGGACCACAAACTCCCTAACACGAAAGGAAGATCGGCGTCAGTTGGGAATCAGCATGCACAACACGCTCAGAAGGACAACCAGACAGAGATCACAACTTTATAAGTGGATATCTCTTTCTCCCTCCCTCCAGATGTACAGATCAACTGTATGTAATAGACAATGCTTTATTTGACATTGCATGGTAGCAAATCATGACATGTTGGGTACAAGTGCCAAAAAACTGAGAAGAAGCACACACTACGACTAAATGCAGCGTGAAAACTGCTATGCGTTATATATTTCAATTTCCAGTATTGTAACCGTTTGTAACTGAAGCAAAGAGGATATAAGGTTCACATGCCACAACGAGGTACAGCAAAACGTCAGAAAGCTCACGCTATTTTACACAAACTTGCCAATTTTTTGGAAGAGCATGGTTCTTTTTAGTGACAATTAAAAAAAAAAAATCTCTGTATTTTAATCACCCCTTTCCTCTTTTTAAACTCATTGTGGCAAGTTTACGCCTTTGGCGCGTCAATTTATCTTAACTTAATCATTAAAGAGAACTCAAGCAAGGAAATGTCCAGCGTATAATAAATTATGATTTTTTTTTGTACTTGAGTCAACTGGGTGCAAGTAATAAAAACTAAATAAAATTAGTTAATGATAAAAAAAAAAAAACGTTGCCTGAGAAATTATTTATTTATAGACTGAAAAGCTGAAGAAATTTCATTCTGAACCTCGCGTGTGCTGTGCGCGCCTTTTTAAAGGTTTACTTTCTAAAAGACTATTTCAGTCAAGTAATTTTTAACTTGTACGTGATTTTTAAGAATTTCGTTATAGGTGTTTTACAATTGTTTATTGCAGCTTTTTAAAATGACATATTTAATCCAGAAAAAAAACGAATATCCCATGCCTTACTCCACTATAAATCCCGCCCGACATCTTTGTAAACAACATTAAAGAACAGTATATCTGTCTTCCGAATATTACCTGAAAGTCTTGAAAAGCCGCTTTTTATTTTCCATTTTAGACACGTTTAGCCCTCAAGATGTTTGAACTTTCTATTTATTATAATGTTAAAAGCTTTATGTTCTATGAGAACGTACTTATCCGTTCCATAATTAGCTATCGAATTCAGTTTTTTTAAGTTCTTATATATGTGTATATATTTCTGTATATTGTGCATATTTTCTACAGGCATATTTTGCAGTAATTAAATAAATATTATGCAGAGAGGTTTCACTCAAACTGCGTCGTATTGTGTTGAATCTAGAAACTCATGAGATAGGACAAACACGTTTTATCAAGCACTTTCATACACACTGTTATTTTATTTTATTTTTAAAAAGGGATTGGTGTCGAATCTGGAAATGGCTTTCCAGCAGTGATTAAACTCAGACGCTCTGCTATCTTTGTGGTGTCTTTGTCTCCTTAAACAAAAACACGAGCCATACATGCATTGCGAAGGAGTCTTCACACTGTAGCCTTCACGTTGTGAGCATGAAAAGGTATTTTTACAGAAGTTCAACAAAAGCCTTGCGGGCAGGTTCATCCAGAGGACAGAGTTTCTGTTGCATTAGACGCTTTTGAGCCGCGAGCACTGACCTCTACACCCGTGACCTGATGGACCTTCAGCCGCTTCTCTCAGACGCCTTTTGGTGCACACAGATGCACCAAAAAAAAAAAAAAAAAAAGTGTTTGTGTGCTCTGTAGTAGCCTAACATTTGCTTTTTAAACGGTGATTATTTGCCACAACGCGTGTAACTTTTTCGAATTTGTTATCAGATTCTGCATAATCTTAACATTAAAAAAGGGCTATGCTGCAACTAACAACGTGGTATGTTACATTGATTGCGATTATGATAAAACTATAAATCATAAATAAACCACTATATGTTTTGCTTCATTAAGCGAAATATATCATGTCAAAGCTGTATTGATAAACCGTTCATGTAGGCATAGAGGGTCCTCTGCTCTTTATAGAGAGAATTATGAGCAAGCAATACTATGGTTGTTTTTACATAACAGCAGAGTTCAATCTTTTAAATATTACTCAAATTTATTTTTTGTTCTCAGCGTTGTCCATCAGCACCGACATTGTGTGTGCTTGTTGTGTGCGTGCGTTTAGCTATACCGTCGTGTATTATACTTAACTATATATTTGGGGATACATTTGTAGCCAGAAGTGAGCTAAACCTGACAAAATGTCCCAAAATCTCCTTTTCGGGATGTCCTCATTTAAAACAGTAAAAAAGTAAAGCAAATGAAGTTCGTGGTTTATGATTAGGCTATAGAATTTAACTTAGTTGTATGTAAAAATAAAAGGAGTCTATGCAATGTTCCCATTTTGATAGTTTAGTGTGTGTGTGTGTGTGTGTGTGTGTGGCCTGGTATACCCTACGTTGTGGGAACCAAATGCCACAAAGATAGTAATACCATTCATTTTTGACCTTGTGGGGACATTTTTTGGTCCCCATAAGGAACCAGATTATAAATCATACTGTGTGAAAATGTAAAATTTAGAGTTTTGTGTGATGGGTAGGGTTAGGGACAGAATATACAGTTGTATGGAAAGGCCCCCTATAAAACATGGAAACCTGTGTGTGTGTGTGTGTGTGTGTGTGAGAGAGAGTGTGTGAGTGTGTGTGTGTGTATGTGTGTGTGTGTGTGTGTGTGTGTGTGTGTGTGTGTGTGTGTGTGGTGGAGAGTGGTTGAGCTTGCAAGAGAGAATATTTGCTATTATTTTATAAACTTTTTTTTAATTGAGATTCACATTTAATGTGTGTGTGTGTGTGTGCGCGCGTGTGTGTTTGATGTAGGCTACTTTATAAATTACCAATCTATTGTCAATGTAAAGACACTTGAGTCAGAGAGATAGAGATAGAGAGAGAAACAGAGATTATAATACCATTATAATACCACCAACACACCTCCAGGACAAAATGTAAAGTTTATTGCATCTTGAATAGGCAAAACATTAACAAACATTAACATGTTAGATGTGTCATATATATGTGTGATATTTATCATATATTTAGCCTATATAGCTATATAGTTTGTTTAAAAAGCCTTTGAACCCTTGTGAAAACACAGGGGATCTCTCCATTGTCTTTCAGTACGCAAGGCATTCTGAGTATTGACCTGGATGTCTGAACAGAATAAATGGGAGCCATACGCGGTTCCATTTGCAATGACTCTGCACCGACTATACCGCCGCTCGCACAATGCGAACTCAAACGGCCATTTTTGATTTCCAGCTGTTCGGTGAAAATGTCTTCGCCCATCGAGAAGACCCGTTAAGATAAATCAACCTGCGCTGTCGACATCCCAAGATAGAATTCGGTGTATGGTTCCGTTCTGTATCTTTTTTGTTTGACCACGTGATTGTCTAAATAATTAATGCAGCACGTCCCCTAGAAACACGGCGTCGTCATTAATCGCGAGGACTCTATCAGACTTGAAAACTGAAGAGATCCAAGAAAATAATATCCAAACGGTCCTGTATCTCACACCACCGCAACCTGCACATTCGTACAGCGTTTCAGCCAATGGAAGATCGGTAGGTAAACATTTAAGATGAATATTTGCTGTAAGACATCGAATAAACATATCTGTCAGAATTTTGATAAATGGTGTCCTTTGATTCAGTCTTCCTCGCGGACTGACTGAAACAACTTCAGGCTCATTGTGATTTTTTTTCTTCTTTCTTAAATAGCTTCAGCATGGAGCACAATCCTGTGTCAATGAATAACAACTCTTCAGTAACAACACTTTTACTTTTGAAGCATTAAATGCAGGCTAGCAAAAATTTTCTTATGTAATGTTATATTGATGCATCTGTGTAGCGATACAAATGTGAAGTCCAGTGCGAGAGTGTTTAGCTTAGGGCTTTAACGAAGGCCTATTTGTGATTTATAATCCGTCATAGATGCTGTTCTTTACCGATTTAGTGGTGAGCATTTGTGGAGACGTGGTTAGATAAAAAAGGACACAAGCTTGAATTCATTGTAGAAGTCTATCTGGGAAATCATCACATAGTTATTGGCGTGAAGAATTGCCTGAATAAGTGGATTGTGCATCCTGACAAACGTTAACAAAACAGCAAATAATTATAGTTTAAAAAAAGGCATGCATCCAAATACAATTTCTTTGGTGACAAAACTCCACTTGTTTTTAGTAATGGTGCATTGTAATCGTAGATCTATCCACAAAGTGTTTGGAGCTGTTTGAGAGGGATGACGGTGATCTGCATCGTTGTAAATCATGCTCAGTAATTCCTGAAAGGGTGAGAGGCTGTTGGGGGCCGGGCGTGGACTGTAAATCTTTCACTTTTATTAGCCCGTGAACATATGCTGCAAGGGGAGAAGACTCGCATCCTCTCCTCAGGACAATCCTGCGCTCGGCCGCCTTCCCAATCGTTTCATCTCCATCTTTCCATCCAGTACATATCCATACAGCACAGCCATAAAGCAAGCATTCGGACCCAGACTACACATAACCTTACCGACTCGCATTTAACCGCTTAAATTACGTTACGTTAAAAAAGAAAAAAGTAAAGGGTGAGAGAGTTTTAATGTATTTGAGAGGCGATTAGAAAACACAATAAAACAAAAATGTATTTTAATGCACAATTATACACTCTTAAAAATAATGGATCTGTATCGACGGTTCCATAACATTCCTGGAACATTCAAGGTTCTTTATAGTGGAAAAGGGTTCTTCAGATTTTTAGTATGTTCTTCACACTAAGGGGATCACTGAAAGGTTCTTTGGGGAACCGAAAATGGTTCTTCAATGACATTGATGCTAAAACACCCAGTTGGAACCTTTATTTTCCAAGAGTGTAGTAAAAATCTAGACATTGAAAGTACCTATTTTTACACTTCATACTCACATATGGGGATCAATACACACTCTTGCTTTTTGAGAAGGACAATATAGAATTTGGGATGATTTTGATGAATCTCTCTGGCTGACGAGGTCATACATTGCTGTCATTGCCTAAACCATAATAGTCAAACAATATTTCAGAGGTTTCTTAAAACCGGGTTTCTTTTCAAAACAGCGAGCAAAAAGTAACAACTACATATTAAATAATCTTAAAGAAAAATAAAAAAATTATAATGTTGCTGCTTTCAAAAATTGTCCGATCCACAGGCCCATAAGACTATGTTAAATAATAATAATAATAATGATAATAATAATAATAATAATAAGGTACGGTGGAGTGAAGAAAAAAAATCTAATGATTGCGCGGATTATCCAAAAAATTGTCTTTCAAATAAAGACAACGTGACGATAAAACAAATGTTTTGTGTGTCGTTTGAACGTTTGTTTTTATTATTCTTTTATTATGCCTGGGTTGCTATACTAAACAGCAATAGCATTCGCCTTATAATGACACACTCCAATACAGTGGCTGAGATCTTGTGCAAAATCATTGTAGCCTACAATGATGTGCGGCTGGAGGGAATGTTAGTGCTCTTGCTTTTTAAATGTATTTGTGAGGTGAAGCTGGTTGGAGTAGCAGTCTCAATCAGGACAATCTGCGACCGGGATCACGTGAACAAATATGCTTGTATTTTAAGGCAGCGCCTTTATTTGTCATGATAAGGTTTCCGAAATATAGTAATGTCGACTCGTGCGGCGAGCCTGCCTCTGTAAAATCTTCTTTTCTTTTTTTCCAATGGGAAGTTGATTGCTAGTAATATTTCGTTTTGGAATAAGAAGACCTTCTTGGCTTTTTATTGGTAGCTGAGTGAGTGGCTCCCATTCTTTCGGGAATACTGTCTGCATTGGTATATGGAAATGACTGGAAAAGCGCGAGATCAGTTTTAAGACAGTACTGTCTATAGACAAAGGGTGAAGGATATATCCGAGCAGCTGTACTGAGATATATTGAGACTAAGAAGCACGGCTATATAATAAATTGACATCACAGGTAAGCAATTGCACGGCAAAACGTAACCTTTAAGCGTGGGTTTACACATTAGGCCGGCGTAAAAATATGATTTATTCCTTTCAAAGCAGCTGATCTTTATTAATGTCATTGCCTACCAACTAAGCAAGTACGATTTGAAGACATAGAGGTAAAACTGCAAGACCATAGTTTTTCAGCTTTGCGCATCCTTGTCTATTTTTTTGAGGTTTTACATCTAAGGTCATTTCAGTCATACAGTTTTAGAGGTGCTATTTCATTTTACATATTATGGTAGCTGAGTTAGCCATGCACATGATAAAACATCTGTGTCATACATTGTGAGATCGTTAATCACTTTAATTTGTGTTATAGTCAATGCGATTTTAGACATGACATATGTGGGTTAGGGTATTCTTTTAAGCATCCATGTTTCCATACATTTAAATCAGTCTCTCTGATTTGGATTGTAATTTATACCAAATTATTTGGATTCAAACACTCTAACATTACATGCATTTTGAATGGAAACCACATTTCGCATGCAATATAAGAGCAAAAATTAATTTAAGATGAACGAATTAATTAAGATGTAAAGTTGATAATTTTGCCACGTGAAGCAAAAGCATGCTATGCAACGACAATCTAGAACTAATATGGTGGTTTATAATATCAGGCTTATATTTTTTTTCCTCCAAATTAAATTTGGTGTTCTAAGCTCGTTTTGCAATTGAGCTCTATTTACGGAATGGTTATTACAAATAAATAACAGATTTTCAGACAAGCGCTTTTGATGAGCCTATTTATAAATAGTTATTGTTTCATATGCATTTCACAAAACATTCAGTTCTGGCCTTGCATTCTTCTTCATTTTGCAATATCTTACCAACACGCTGAGGCTCAATCACAAACGTATATGTTTTCGATTCTACTTGATTTGTGAGATGATTCGGGATTTCCCCCCCATTAAGCTGGCATTAATTCACACATTATTTCCATTACAACTTCACTAGGGCCTAAAATGATTGCCATATAAAACAGTTTTCTACAAAAGAGATGCATGCAAATTAGAAGCAGAAATATATATACATGTATATATTTACAAACCGAGTCCATTATTCTTTACCGCCCATTGTTCTATTATGAGTACCAAACTTACCGTGGGAGTGCGTGGGCGAAAACACGCTCGCCTGATAAAGGCAGACCTTGTTCGGCTGACTTGTTCGCTACATTTATCCTATTAAGACTTTGAACGTGACACACCAGTTTAAAACACAGGCTACATGCATTCTCTTGTTTTAGTTACATTTGCCAACGTTGCGGTCCATCGCCAAATAACAATAATAGTAGCCTAATAGTAGCCTATTATTAATCCCATAGGCTAGTTGAAAGGTGTTGTCCTCGTCTCGTGTTTTCGAAAGGATTTTCAGAGTGAAACAGAACAGGTCGTCTGTCTGGTAGGATGAGGATTAAAATCTCGTCTTCGGGCTCGCGCTTTGGTTTTAAAATCACCGGTGAAAAAGTTGTGTGGTGTGGATTGCATTGTGACTTGAGTCCCTTCCGTCCGTTGTTCATTAATCAGTGAGTTATTGGAGAGGAAGCCAAAGGTCACCCAAAAGGCTTATGAGTGCTAAATATTTTGGCCAGCATCTCTTTGTGTAAAATCGCTTATGTCGGGTTTTTTTCCCTTCTTCTCTCTCTCCCTCTCTCTCTCTCATGCAGCTACATCTTTTACTTCTCTCAAAACCAGTCTAATATTCTAGGGGGGAAATAAATTAGTTCATTAAATAAATGGGACATCATGTAAAAATGTTATGAATTTGTGGTATCATCGCTGATGGCCGTGAATTCACATTCAGAATGAAAGACTCAACCATAGCTGTCATTTTGCAAACGTAACATACTCAGCAGTATAACGCATATAATTTATTAGAACAGCCCTTATTTTTTTAAACGGGGAGCTGGAAGAAAAAAAAAGAACAACAATTAAAATCATTTTTATTCTTTAGGTCGCCGTATAAATTATGAAGATTGCTTGAGGAGAAAGAGGGGAGAGGAAACCACAGACTGCGGTAAGAGATGTCTATATATTTAAGTTTGCACTGGAATTAAACAATAGCCTATGTATTACTCATAACCTGCCGTTATTAACCTGTTATTACTCATAACTCTTGTGACTCTATATTTCATAGCTTGCAACACAGCCCATAAAAACTTATGGGCCAGAAAAAAGAATACGTGTTAAATTAAAATTCCGGTGTCGCTCTGAGCTTAGACAACAAATTAACAATTTAACTTAACAATTATTTACATGGTTTTTCCCATGCAATTTCAAGTTTACACTTACATCTAGAGCAAAGTAGGCTTTAACATGCAATAGCAATGCTATCTCGTTGATGTAGAAAAAAAAAATCAAATAAACAAAACAAAAAAGCATGCGTGCAAAAACCAAAACAAATATTCCCATCCGAACTGCACTGTCTTATTAATTTAGAGTATCCTTTACTAAAATCCACTGCGCAATTGGTCAAAAGTGTGTTCCATTACATGTAGTTAAAGAAGGCTGAAGACAAGAGTGTGTGAATTAGTGCAGTAGCTGGATTTATACCGGCGGGCTGTGGGCTCTGCTTGTAGCGGGACATTCTTGCCCCCAGCCATCCTCCTACGCTTAGAGTTTTACCACTCTGATGGTCCCAAGTCTTGAGGAGTGCTTTTCTTCTCGCCCCTCTGTGAGGCATTTACGGCTCTAGCATGGCCACTCATAAATTTAGTCGGGCTCTACAATGACAGGTGCATTGATATGTATCGTGCGGAGCTTCAGGCCGTCTAATAACTACTGTATTGAGCACGAGCTACAGTCACTTGGCCGAAAATCTTGAAAGAAAGAAAGAAAGAAAGAAAGAAAGAAAGAAAGAAAGAAAGAAAGAAAGAAAGAAAGAAAGTCTGTTTGGTGTGGTGTAGGCTATTGCACATTGGGGTCTCAGTTTGTGGAAGGACTTTGTGGACTTTCTGATTTTAAAACTCAAATCGGCGGGAAACAAGCCTAACTTCGAAGCTACCATGGCATAATGATACAGATTAAGTAGCAATTTAAATTTAAATTTTAAATCGGTATTACAGAGTGTTCCAAAAGCTTTATGATAAACTAATATAATAAACTAAACATTATACAGTTTACATGTATCAGTTACGATATTATAGAAATGACAAAATAGACTAGATGTTTCGTTATTTACGTTCTTATAATCTATTTCTCGGATTTGTATGCATTTTCTTTATAAAGATTGTATTTTCGTATAATGTTCACAGACAAGAGCAAGGAACAGACCAGTTATATCAAACTTAGGAAAAATCAATCGATTAACTTTATTAATGTGAACCGATCAAACTATTAGCCCGAATCTCTTAAGCGGTTTCAAACTAAAGATGTACAATTCCAGGACAGACAACGTCTCATTTCTTCCCGTTATGTTACGAGATATACGAATAGATTTAATATAGAATGTTTTATGTTCTATTCTATTGAACGACCCCCCAAGATGTCTAGTAGTGAGCAACGAGTCGGGAAAGAATGGGATATTGTTTGAAGAGAAATGCTGATTCTCCTTCTGCTGCCGTCTCGTTTCACTCAATGGGGTACTTTTAGCATAAGTTAAACTTTAACCGTCTTGTGTCATTCTTGCCTAGAGTTCTGAAAGTGAAAAGATGAAGGGGTTTGGCTTGTCAAGAATAAAAAAAAAAAGAGAGAGAGAGAGAGAGAGAGAGAGAGAGAGAGAGAGAGAGAGAGAGAGAGAGAGAGAGAGAGAGAGAGAGAGAGAGAGAGGCCTTGCGAAAAATGGCTGATCACAACATGAGATCTATTATTGTTTAGATATGGTGAATGGTGATTTGTTTATGTTTTAAACATTCTAAAACATAAAAAAGAAAGAACAATGGCGCAAATCTATGTACAATTTGGCCTTTTCCCAACCTGATTTGCAAAGAGGCAGAGCAACAAGATTTGACTAAAGGCACTTTCACAAGATGACAATAAGAAACTAATGCTAAGTTTAATAGTCCAGCTAAGGAAGCCACATAGAATAGAACTTTGGCTTGCCATCTTTTGCATTAAGTGCATTAGGGAAAAATAAAACAAGAAAAAAGATCACATTTATGAATTCTACAAAGTTAGGAGGAATAGGGAATATTGCTTGACATCTGACACCAGAAATTGCAGAGTTCGGAGAAATGTATTTCCATCTCATATTTAAAAAGTGAAAATGCTACGGGCTGTTTTCATCTGCAGTGGGGTCTGGTTCGCCTACATGATGTTTAGACTTGAAAGGGAATATAAATCTGTAAATGCAAATATGGATGTTTTTAAGTGTTTGGAATCTCACATCAACGATTGTTTCAAGTTAAAATGGCAAAATCTTTTGCTAAAATTGATTCATTTTCTTTCTCAGCAGGTCAAAGGACAGAAGATCTGTGGGAAGCTCCAATCACGTGATTGACAAGTCCATGCAACAGGAGTTCACAGGCTCTCTTAGTTTGAACCTTCAC